GGCGGTAGCACGAGAACTGCTGGGCACAAGTCACCGCCTTGTCTGCGACGTATCCATCCACCAACAAGGCGCAGATCTCGGACAGGGGACCGAACTGGGACAGAATGTACGTGCTACGATCAATCATCTCGTTGGTGACGCTGGCCGAGAACAGCTTGCCCTGGACGGTCTCCTTGACGCAGGCTGGCATGGCCTTGAGCACCTCAAGAATGCACTCGTTCATCTGGCAGAAAGCCAGGTTGCGCCGGGGCTCGTTGTTCTTGACGATGCCGCCTCCTTGCCAAAAGGCATAGCACGCCTCATAGAAGTTGTAGATCTTGCCACACTCCACGTCGCCCATGCCTCAGCAGCCAGACTACCACACACAATCCCGTCGCGTGCGCTTCAAAGCTTGGCCAAGCGCAACAAAAGGCCACGCTGCAACAAGCAAAACGGGCGTGCCACATCAAGAACTCACCAGCATGCTAACTTAGCCAGGCACCCTGCTTGTTGCCAATCGGCAGCGGCTGGAAGGAGCACATCATGTTCTGACCATCGGTGACGTTGCGGTCGACGAGCAGGTTGGGGTAAGCGATCTTCGTCTCCTTGCAGGCCGGGTTGGCGTAAGACACCAGGGCGTCCGCGGATTTGGTGGCCTCGTCGGCGGTGCACACGCTCGCACTGGTGCCTGTGGAAGTCTTCGCTGCGGGGCGGGCGGCCGTGGCCAGGTCGTCGTATCCTGCCTTAGGCTTCGTGTTGTAGGCCATCAGCTCGTGCTTTCCGTTCCTTCGCTTCGTGCGGTGCGACGCGGACAACTCCAATCGATGTTTAGATTAGATGTTCTCTACACAGCTGCAAGCGCTTCCCAAGGCCATATATTCCTCTGCTAAGTCGCTTGGTGACGGTGGCCTCAAGAGACGGGTCCACGGCCTTGTTGGCAACACCGCTTGCCGCCTAGCCAGAAATCAAAGCTGAACTTCTTGGGGTGATTAGGACAGCTTGCAAGCCACGACACCGAAATTGGCTTCGACCACGTGCCGAGCTTTCCCCGCACGGGCCGGAAACCCCTTCTGTGCCAGTACTTCTTTGTCTTTACGCTCTTGATGGGCTCAATGAGGATGTGACCGCCGCCGTCTCGGCAGGTTCTGTCCTACAAACCGAACTCAAACGTGGCTACGGTGGCAAGGTTCTCTGCAATCCAACCATGATGCTGATGCTGGCGCGACGTCGGCCGGGTATGGTGGCGCGACCGGCGCCGGGCCGTGTTTGCCCAACCCACATGCCTCTAAGCCGGCGAGGAGATCCCTCGCGGCTCTCTTTTGCGGCGCTCCCAGAGCGACGAGGAGCTTGTACCCGCCTTCGGTGGGCTGCCACACGCTGGCGCCCACCGCCTCGCCCGAGTCACCATCAAAGCTGATGGTGACCCGGCTCTCGTCGAACTCCCCAGTGAGGCACCACTGAGTGTACAGGCGGTCCAAACCTGGACGGCCGGGTCAAATTCCAGGGATCAGCCTTTTTGTGTCCATGTTTCCTGTGGTGACAGCACGAATCGCCGGGACATGTGAGCACACATAAGCATCACTAGCAGCACGAGTAGCATCTACTCGACAACGGTCGAGCGGGATGTTTCTTTGGGGTCTGGTGGGTAGGCCAAGGCACACGCGTAACCCTCATGTCCTTTGAGCTTCCTTGCGCGCTTGTGACAATTGCTTCGGAAGCCGCGTATTCTCCCCTGGGCCCCTCGGTTAATCACCAGATCGGCCTTGATCAGAGTTCTTGCTTCCGGGAAAAAGGGATGCGGCCTGCTTTTACACTGTCCCGCCCCCTGTCATGTTCCGACCCCAAACCCACACGGGCATTTCCGAATTTCCCAATAGGGGTACCCCTTTTATACCCTGAATACAATAGAATCCCCTTCAAGGGACCTTAAAGAAAGGGTCCCCGAAACCCCCACATTTGTTGGGGGTATCATTTTCGCATGGGCCCCTTATCGGTTTTCAACACAAACGCTGATGCTCCGTGGTAATTTCACGGTTGTTCATAACAGGCTACGTGCGTCCTAGAACCACATGAACATTTAGGCAAAAACCCTGGCGACTGCCAAAAGGCTGGACCTTCGCTGAAGGCAGCGTCCAGGTCAAGGACGACGAGTCGGGCCAACAACTTTAACAGCACCTCGAGCTTACTCAAACGTGTCATCAGACAATTGCACAGGCTTGCTACAGTATTGCTTAAAACGCGAACCTTGCGCGAAGATGTGGTCAGGATCGCGATGATCTGCTCAACTGCAGCGTCCATGCCCTGGCAGCTTGTCCAGAACGGGCGCAGTAAACTGTCCCCGCCCCATGTTGGTGTTGGCCTTGCTTGTCCTTCCAACGTCGCCCGTCGGTTGTCTTCAGGTGAAATTTGATGTTCGGGGCGATTATAGCACCTGTACTATCGAAGAACCGTAATGGCTGATGGCACGCGAGCAAGGTCAGGGCTTTAGCATCTTAGGCTTCTTGGGCATGAGGGCCTCCCGCCGCCCCTCGGTATCTCGACAAAAAGCGTCATCTTGTTCTGCACTTGCGCAAGAAGTGAGCTCAGCGAGCTCAAAGCAACAGGGGCAACACAACGAGGCATCGCGCAGATTTAACCGGCTAGCCGAAGAAGAACACCCTAGCCCCGAAAGAATGCTTAACGGCTATAGACATTGAAGAGCGCGCCCGGCCAATGGAGACCAAGCAGGTACCTAAGACACGATTTCCCATTGCACCAACTCCACCTCCTCTGCTTCCGCCAGCAAGTCGCAAATGTCTGCTTTGTCCTGGCTTTCACTTCTGCAGGCTTCGGCTTTGGGATTTCGCGTGGGCGGGGGCTTGCTGCTGCTAGCACCATCTTCTGTGTGCACCCTTCCGATTCCAGTGCACATTTGTACATCTACCAGGACCGTACTTTCGCAATCAAATCCAACCTCACTCTCATGCAAACAGCAAGGACGTCTGTCTCCTCGGCCATCACGGCGTGGGACACGGAATCACAAAGAGAACAAGCTCGAACAGTGAGATGGCTACACAAAAAAGGAACATGGTGGTCTTTCGCTGAAAGGAATGTCGCCGCGCCGTCAACAACAATGCAAGGCAGCGAGCTGAGGCAAGGCACCGTCCATGTGTCGACTTCAAGTCAACGTGGCGCACCTTCGGCCAACTTCGGGGCAAACTGCCTTTGCTGCCTTCGCCTCCAGCTGAGCTGTTGGGTGTTTCGGCCGAACTTGTGGTATGCTGTGACGAAAGAAGCGCTTCGCTGGCCTCAAACAATTTCCTCTAGAGCCTCCCATGAATCTTCGCCAAATAAGGCCTACACCCTACGACAGCCTCAACACCCTCAACTCGAAATCTAGCTTGTAGTCCTAGGACCATTAAACCCCAAAAAGAAGTACCCGAAACCCTATACGCCAAAACGAAGTACCCGAAACCCTACACCCCAAGAACTCCAACAACCTTCGGAGAGGGGCCTTGGATGAAGGGCGTGTAGTCGCCCGGGAAGCCATACTGGCTCAACCTTGAAGATAGGTCTACGGTGAGCTGAAAGGTTAGCTAATATTTCCAGCCATGGCAATTATGTTTGGTGACAACGTGACATTTGGAAGGAATGATTTAACACTTGGGAAACAACATCTCTTCTTTCATTCTCTTACTTTAACTAGCCTAAAGCATCTCTGTCAATCCACGCCTGTTGTTAAAATGAAGTGGTAACGCATCTTTCATTCAAGTAAACAACACTCAGCTTCCAGATTGAAAAGAGAGCTTGAGGGATCCAGGTCTGGGTTTAGCATCGCCCTACCCCTGCGAAGCTTTAGGGGGCCTCAGGGAAACACTGAGCCCGGAACCTCCCCAACCCTCTTTAGGGGGCTTTAGGGTTTGGGGTTCAGGGGACCCCTGCCTCGCAGGACATCCCTTTGGTGTCGTCGGAGGTGCTGAACCTGGCAGGATTTCGGGTTCAGGGTTTAGGGTGTTGGGTGCTTCGGGTGTAGGAAGGGTTAGAGAGTTGAGGGGGCAGGGCCTGTGCGGAGCAGTTGCCGTTTAAGCTTTCGACCTCTGAACTGCTTGGATCTGCTTGGGAACACTCCCGCCCAGGCCAAGGCCAAGGCCCCGACTGGCTGCACACAAGGGAGACGGCGGCCGAGAGCGCGGTCTTCCCGTGGCCGACGTGGCCGATGGTGCCGACGTTGATGTGGTCCTGTCTTTCTGGCACAGGCTTTCTTGGGGGAACGAAGGTGGCAAACCCGAATAAGCCCTAACCCCAAACCCTAAACCCCGAAACCCAAGACCTCAACCCTTCTAAGCCCAAAGCCCTCACGCTTACCCTATGCCGTCATCTTTGGGTTCCACGGGAATCAAGAATCCACACCAAAGCTCCAAAGCTGGGGGGTTGAAGGGCTGGGGCTGGCTAAATTAGCGGCTAACTGAGGGTTTAGGATGGACCGAAGCCTCTAAAGTTCCCAAAGCTTGAAGGGGCTGAGGAAAGACCTTTGCAAAAACTCAGGACTGGTCCTCCAGATCGTCAGAACTCGGGATGATCACCTCAGAACATTCAGAATTCAGAACACAGGACAGCAGCCAGCACATCTGAGCGCTCACAGATCAGATGCAACTTCGCAGTCGATGTAGCGGAGCTCCTTTGGTCAGTCGCACTTTTTAAGGGCCTGGCCATCCTGGCATGGGCAGAGGCAGACGCAGCTGCAACACAGTGCTATCTGTGCCATTCTGTATGATTCTGTGCGTGCCAATCCGCTGTGCGATTCTGTATGATTCTGTGCGCGTGAATCCAGGGGGGCAGGCTTGCAACATCTTGTCATGTATCTGTCCGCAACTGTTTGATTGAAGCAGGGCTTGAGCCAAAACACCAGGTTCGTCCCGGGCTGCAACCCCCGAAGAAAATACCAACCTCGCCAAGGGAGAGTGACTATACAAATCGTGTCTGGGGAGGCAGATGATGCAACTGCAGCACGCAACGGGAATCCACACCCTGTGCCAGAGATCCTACTTCCAAAGCTCAAACTGAAGACCTATAGGCGCCGATAGCCCGTTCACATCGCTTGACCCGTCTGATTCACGATTGTTTTTGAATGGAGCCTTGCTTTGGCGCCGTTTGGTTTCCGTCCCGCATTTCAAGGCCATGTCCTCTTTGATGGCCAGGGCTATGTCCCAGACATGTGAGTGCGCCAGGCTGAAATGGTTGCTGTCCGGCAGCATCTTCACAGATCCAATGGCCGTAGCATCTTTCCGCATCTCCCCATTCACACGCATCATCCGCTGAGGCAGCTTCAGAAAGGGCACGTAGTCCGATGTGAATGTCAACTGCAGGGCCTCGAAGCGGATGCCGTCTGAAGTCCTTGTCAGAGCCGGGTGGACGCCTGCCTGCAAGAGAGATGCTGGAGTGGACCGGGGGTCCAGGGCCACAATCGCAAAGACATCGATTCCCATGCGTTCCAAGTGCCCTGCTACTGTGTGGGCCACATTCACACCGAGCGAGTGCCCGCTCAAAATCACGGGGGAAACGTCCGCTCGAGGCATGAATCCCAGAGTGGCATAAATCAAAGCAGCGAACATTGCGAACCGTAGGGCAACCTCGATGAATGCCACCCAACCACTGACGCTGGCTGTGGATGCTACTGGGAACATGCGGCCGGCCATGGCAATGTACGTTTCTGGAAAGGTCGTCGCTCGAGCTCCTCCCAAAAACAAGACACAGGCAACGTTCCTTTCATTCCTTCCATATGCATCTTCTCGCTCTTGCAGCAGTAGTGTACTCAGTAGTGCGGTTTCCCTCACTGTCCTAGTCTCACGGCGCAAGCTGCAGCACGGACGAGAAGGGCAGATTTGGAGGGTGGCGGCGCCGCCACTTTTTGTTGAATCGGTGCCACTATCCACTTGTATGTCATGGGGTGGGGGTCAGCAACAACTTCTAACAGCCGAGATGTTGGAGATGGCAAGTCATCCCAGCGAAGCCGGAAGCTGAAGGAAAGCAAGCCGGGCGGTAGGAGAGCCGTAAGGAGGCATCGATCACGAGCATCAGAAGCCCTTAATTGCAGAGGTGGGACTCATAGTATGCATAGTGGTATACACCTTCACGTGTGTAACAAACCGGCACTGCCTGGCCTGCCAGGCCTGCGGATCTAAAGACACGGTGAGGGCTTAGTGATGGGGTCCCGAAGGACCTGAACCCGCAGAACGCCTCGACAGGACAACCAAATGAGTTGAAGGAAGGTGCACCTTTCTTGCTTCAGGAGCTTTAGGCTCAGGCAAAAAGGGGAACACAATGCACAGGGCATCTAGCTGCACAGCTGGAGAAGTTAAGGGCCAAACGGAAGACTTCAAACGAACATTGCAAGCCCAGAGCCGCCAAGACGATCCTCGGCAAAGAGAGGCGGCTTCGACGAAGGAAAGGAAACGGGTTGCAAAGCTGCGCCTGTGAAGCCGGAATCCAGCGGGCTGCACAGGCTGCTGGGCAGGGCGAATCTCCAGTGAACGCCGTTGGAACCTTACTCGGGAGGCTGCACAGCACCGCCTTTGCGCGCGGCAGGCACTCCATGTGAGAAAAGGCGCAACACTGAATGTCAACCCCCATGTGCACGCGCGTTGAAGGCAAACAATCAGCAACGTGAAGTTATGCTCGTGCCTGCATGTGCCTATGGGCTGGGCAACGGTAGTCCCCGCCAATGCATGTGGGCGGGGCCTGCTTGCTAGGTCAGGTGTCGGCGTTGGACTTGATTCATGGCGATCAAAGTGACCCTCCCGCTTCCATGTGCGTCAGTAACCTGCACTCCATCGGCCACCCACCGTCAGTGCAAGCCATCCTTCAAATCCGGCCTCTGCATATTCAACCTGCTCCTCTCGATGCTGCCCCCCAGGGCTTGTAGGGCAGCTCCCCACAGCAAACACTTCACTCGCTCTGTGCATCCAACCTTTTGCGACACAAATTGGCGAACGAGTCAGATAGCGAGGGCACGCGCTTTCGGCACGACGCTACAAGCCCATCTAAGTTAAGACTCGTCCAGCTTTCAAAGGCGTTCCCAAAGGGCGCGCCGGTTTTGTTACCCCTTCTGTCGGGCGGAACGTCCTGGCACATGGCCCCCGTAAGTTGTCAAAGGCGACCGCAAACTTCCTCTCGGTGTGCGGCATCATTGCCCTGGCGAAGGGCACACCTTTCCTTGTCAAATGCAAGGCAGGTCAGCGTGCAGGGCGCCGACTCTGCAGTTGTCGGCAGCACCTTCGAAGCAGTAGCCTCCAGAGCACGCCTTGACGAGGGTGGGGAATCTTCGGAGGACTTGGAGTCTGAGATGAGACGCAAACCCAACCAGAAACCACCCTGCCTCGCCGCAGTGGGGGGGTGTCGGGTGCAGGATGGCATAGGAGCCCAACTTGTGAAAAGCATGACGATACTGCAGATTTCTGAAGTCTTATGGAGTGCTGGGCTGGTGCAGCTGGCCTCCTATACAGCTGTAGATTTGGAAGAGGGAACAACACTCCAACCTTTTGCGACACAAATTGGCGAATGAGTCAGGTAGCGAGGGCACCTACAAGCCCATCTAAGACTCGTCCAGCTTTCAAAGGCCCAAAGGGCGCGCCGGTTTTGTTACGCCTTCTGTCGGGCGGCACGTCTTGGCACATGGCCCCAGTAAGGTTGCAATGTTCCTCCCCCCGCCGGATGCCAGATTGCAATGTTGCACCAAAAGCAGGAGAAATCCGAATCCACGAGAACGCGTTGCCGGAGCCTTTGTAAGTCATTCATGAAGCCTGAGTGAGCGACGAATGCGACGAAGACACGGCCAACTGCGGAATGCACAACACGATCCAAGCAAAGGCTGCAGAATGACTGACTTGCAAGGTTGTCGGCTCAAAGGCTCACATTCTGTCTGTATCATGTTCGCCTCGGCTTCCTGCCGAGAAGCGTCTGGAACAAGCAAACCCCAACCCCATGCCATTCTGACGCCACCCCCCCCCCCCGCCCTGTGGGACCCCCCCCGATCCTTGTGGAGGGTCCCGGAGCCCTCCCCCCCCCACCCCCCTTCCCCCCCACCCACCCCCCTTCCCTCCCACCCCCCCCTCCCCCCCCCCCCCCCACCCCCCCCCCCCCGCCCCTCTCCCCCCCCCCCGCCCCCCCCCCCCCCGACCCCCCCCCCACCCGCTCTGCCCTTCTGCGAAACCCTCTTTCCTCCTTTCCTGTCCTGGGGCCGGCCCGGCTGCCGAGGCGGCGCGCGCAAGCGTTTACAATTCCCAAACTTGTGCAGCTAAAGCTACCGTGTCCGAAAGCACAAACCTGGGGTGAACTATACTCTCATACTTCGGAGTTCATGCAAGCCCATGACCTCCGGAGTTGCGGCTGCTGGTTTGGAGCTGAGGCTAGGATTCGGGGTTCAAGGCAGCAACTTGCTCGGAAAGCGAACGACCATCACAGTTTTGCTGTGGACAAGATTGCGGGTCAACGACAAAGTTTCTCATCCTCCGCATTACTTCTTTGGATATCACACAGCGGCACCTGGATGTTCTGCGCCACGGTCGGCAGGCAACAGCCTGCAGGGCGATAGGCCGCCTGCGACACCAGCCAGCACTTGCATCATGCATGGATGCGGCCGTTACCGGCCGTTCAGGCATGGGGGCAGTCCACGCAGTGCAATTCGAACAACGGAAAGCTGACAAGAAGGGATCATGGTTGAGGAGGGCAAGAGGGAAAACTCGAACCAAAACAACTGAATTCAGCGCTGACTGCTAGCAGTAAACCTTTGGGGCTAGCACTTCACATGTAGCAGCTTCGAGACATCTGCGAGGGACTGCAAACAGAAGAAACTGGTTTGTGTTTTGGCATCCTGCCTGCAAGCACGCCGTCGGTCTTGGCCTTTCACAGAAATACACGCACAGCACATGTGCATGTGTGCAAAGACTATGACTATGCAGACTATCTTGCCACGAAATTAAGTGAGGAGAAGTAGGAGGAGGAGGAGGAGGAGGAGGACGGCACGCGGCAGTAACCGCTGCCTTACAACCACGTCCCCCCCCGTATCTCAGGAGAGCTCCGTAAGCGTCATAGCTCGCCTCCACGAGGGGTTCAAGTGGAGGACTAAACTAGACTATGCATCCAAGTGGCCAGGAAAGGGATGAGGGGGGCAAGGAGAGAAAGAAGCGGAGGAAGGACAGAGAGGAGGCAAGGGAAAGGAGAGGCCGAAGACTGGGGGTGGTTGCGGGAGGGAGCAGCGCCCTGACAGGGAGGGAGACAAGGGGCCGGCGAGGACAAAACATAAGCGAAGGGCCAAGGGTGGACCAGAAACAACCCCCCCCACGAAGCGCCAGGGAGGGGGGGTTGAGAAATGGGAAAAAAGGAGGAAGCAGACGCCGCGCAACCAAACCCAACCCAACACCCACACCCACCCACACCCCCGCCCAAGCCCGCGCCCGAAGCACCCACGCACCCACGCCCCCACGGCCCCACGCACCCACGCCCCACCCACCCAACCACCCACCCACCCGCACACCCACCCACCCGACCAACCAAAAAAAACACACACACACACACACACACACACACACACACACACACACACACCACACAAACACACACACACAACACACACACACACACACACACACACACACACACACCACACAAACACACACACACACACACACACACACACACACACAAACCCACACACACACACACACACACACACACACACACACACACACACACACACACACACACACACACACACACACACACACACACACACACACACACACACACACACACACACACACACACACAACACTCGCACAGAGGCCGGAGGCCCGGTAACGGCGTGCAGCGCACAGGAGCTCTATTTCACGCGGCACGCAAAGGAACGAGGTGCGGGTCTATGTACACTGCCAAACCTTCTGCCTGAAGAGCCTGCGAGGCGCGACGCAGGAGTGTCGAGCAGCACGTGGCCTCAGCGGCAACTGATCGATCTGTAGAAGCCCACACCAACCTAGGCGAAGGCCGGCTCTGCAGATTAGCATTGGCTACAGTTTGGTAGCTGCGAGACGAACATGGCCCACTGCAGCTGTACTAAGCTCCTGGCAATTCCGACTTCTCAAGTTGAGGGTCGGCGAACCTGGCCTTGGGTTCAAGAGCCCCACTCGTCTTTGTGTCACTGTAGACCAACTGCCGGTGAGCTTTCGACTGAAGCCTCCAGCCCTTTCGTTGCATCCTGTGCTGTTCTCGTGCAACTGAACAGGATCCTGTTACATGCCTTGGTTAAGCAAGGGCCCATCGCCGTAAGTTTTCGTACTTTGAACAGTAACGAGTACTTCGTTCGGCACCCGAGCTCTTGGTTTCTTGCCATGGCGTCTGGGATCAAATGATCTGTTCAACTCCCCGTTTTGGAGAGGAAATGGGCAGAAGCGTCGCAGGGATTGGAAGCGAACACTTGTGCTTCTGCAAACGCCACTGGTGCGTCAGATGTGCAAACCTTGATTCATCGTTGCATCTCACGGCAGTTCTCACATGTGGAGCGCAGGCAACTGAACCTCACATCCATGAATGCCGGGTAGACCGAGGCCAAGAAGCCGCGCTGCACGCACCTGCATGGCGTAGAGTCTGCGGCCGAGCAGTTCGTTGCTTCAGGTATCGGGGGGTTTGGGGGAGGGCGCTGGGTGTTGAGCTCTTCGTTGAGGGTTTGGTCCAAAGGGTTTGAGGTGAAAAGATGTGAAAGCAGAGCTAAGTTCAAGTGCAGGATCTGCTAGGTCTCGGGTGGTGTTGTGGGCTTACGGCATCCTGGCCAAATACAAATCTAGGCCAGGACCGGCAAGGACCGGCCAGGACCATCGGGCACCTGCCGCAACTCCAGGAACTCCCTGGAGAATGACTTCTGCAGTTTGCATGAGCAAAACGCGGCACAACGAAAAAGCAACAACATGAACAACCGAAAGCCAAAAAAGCGTTTGCCAGTTGGTACACAAGGCGCTCAGCACCAAACTCCGGTTTTGCTTCGTTGCTTCCTTACTTGTTTCATCAGCTGCTTTCGATGCTTCCTTCTTTTCTTCTTGCTGGCCTGGCGGAACACAGATTAGGATGCACTGGACACTCAACAACGCCTCTGTCCAGTAGCGCCTTCAATGCATCGGGGCTGTGTAGCCCCTCCTGCAGCGGCCGAATGAATTTGCTGCAGTCACACATAGGCTTCAGCGTGGGCAGCCGAACCAGTGGATGCACCCGGCCTCGAAAGCGTCGCCAAGTACGACGGACGCGTGCCTGCCAGCTAACCAATCGTCTAACTATTTGATTCTGAATTATCCATTGGAATCCCCTACAACCCGCCGTTGCCACACGCCTGTGCCGCCCAATTAATCCAAAACACCATGCGTGCAATTGACGAAATAGGCATTTGGCACTTTTCCTGACGATTGCTAATGTCATCTGATATCCCATTCTGCCTTAGCCGAACTTGGAAGAAAGCGCGCAGGCGTCCTGGAGCGCGACTAACTGCTCAAAGGGCATTCCCAGCTGTGAAACCCTGAAGCTTGTTTCTGCATGTTTCTGCGCCCCATAGCATCCACCGCTTTTCGTTTGGTTTTCATCTGGCTTGTGCGCTCGCCGGAACCCAATGCCTGGGGCATGGGAGGACTATCTATCGCTGAATGATAGATTTCGGCAACAGTCGGGCGATCGCAGATGGGGGTTGTCCATCGCGCGTTATGCTTCGAAAACACCCGGAAACATCAATCGCGGATAGCCGTAAAAAACCAATCGGAAGACTCCTCGACAGAAATGCTGTCAAAATCAAGCGAGCGTCAAGCGATGATTTAGAGAACTCGAGCTGAGCTCCACCGTCAACCCCTTTCGAAGCTTAAGCATGCCCGGAATGATGCGAGACAGGAGTATGGCCCGGCCTAGTTGCAGGGAGATTGCAGACAAGCTTCTTGATCAGAGCCTCCTCATCCAGGGACTGGGCCACGCCGCTCTCTTGAGGGGCCACGCTGGCTCCCACAAAGGCTGCCGCAAAGGCCTGCTTGGCCCAGTCGAAGCTGGGCGACTGCACAGAGGACTCCGTGGGGATGCCGGATGCACCGATGACCGTGGACATCTTCGTGCACACAAAGGCGGCGTAGCCTTGCTGGGTCGGGCTGGTTACGGAACCGTGTCCCGTTTGGCGGTAGCACGAGAACTGCTGGGCACAAGTCACCGCCTTGTCTGCGACGTATCCATCCACCAACAAGGCGCAGATCTCGGACAGGGGACCGAACTGGGACAGAATGTACGTGCTACGATCAATCATCTCGTTGGTGACGCTGGCCGAGAACAGCTTGCCCTGGACGGTCTCCTTGACGCAGGTTGGCATGGCCTTGAGCACCTCAAGAATGCACTCGTTCATCTGGCAGAAAGCCAGGTTGCGCCGGGGCTCGTTGTTCTTGACGATGCCGCCTCCTTGCCAAAAGGCATAGCACGCCTCATAGAAGTTGTAGATCTTGCCACACTCCACGTCGCCCATGCCTCAGCAGCCAGACTACCACACACAATCCCGTCGTGTGCGCTTCAAAGCTTGGCCAAGCGCAACAAAAGGCCACGCTGCAACAAGCAAAACGGGCGTGCCACATCAAGAACTCACCAGCATGCTAACTTAGCCAGGCACCCTGCTTGTTGCCAATCGGCAGCGGCTGGAAGGAGCACATCATGTTCTGACCATCGGTGACGTTGCGGTCGACGAGCAGGTTGGGGTAAGCGATCTTCGTCTCCTTGCAGGCCGGGCTGGCGTAAGACACCAGGGCGTCCGCGGATTTGGTGGCCTCGTCGGCGGTGCACACGCTCGCGCTGGTGCCTGTGGAAGTCTTCGCTGCGGGGCGGGCGGCCGTGGCCAGGTCGTCGTATCCTGCCTTAGGCTTCGTGTTGTAGGCCATCAGCTCGCGCTTTCCGTTCCTTCGCTTCGTGCGGTGCGACGCGGACAACTCCAATCGATGTTTAGATTAGATGTTCTCTACACAGCTGCAAGCGCTTCCCAAGGCCATATATTCCTCTGCTAAGTCGCTTGGTGACGGTGGCCTCAAGAGACGGGTCCACGGCCTTGTTGGCGACACCGCTTGCCGCCTAGCCAGAAATCAAAGCTGAACTTCTTGGGGTGATTAGGACAGCTCTGACTTGAAATCTTTCCCTAAACCCGACGCCTCAAGTCTAGACAGCCTGAACCCAAAACCCACTACCGCGACGCCTCAACACGACCAGGAAACGGCACGGCACGCTAACAAAGAAATCTTGGCAGGACGTCTGTCGTTTCAAAAACCGCATTTGTTCGCTGAAACCACACTGCGCACTCCAGTTTTCAGACCAGTTTTCTGGCCGTTGTTGAAATTCAGCGCCAATTCTGCTCTTCGAACCTATTGCCTTACACTTATACTAAGACAGCGCGCTTGCAAGCCACGACACCGAAATTGGCTTCGACCACGTGCCGAGCTTTCCCCGCACGGGCCGGAAACCCCTTCTGTGCCAGTACTTCTTTGTCTTTACGCTCTTGATGGGCTCAATGAGGATGTGACCGCCGCCGTCTCGGCAGGTTCTGTCCTACAAACCGAACTCAAACGTGGCTACGGTGGCAAGGTTCTCTGCAATCCAACCATGATGCTGATGCTGGCGCGACGTCGGCCGGGTATGGTGGCGCGACCGGCGCCGGGCCGTGTTTGCCCAACCCACATGCCTCTAAGCCGGCGAGGAGATCCCTCGCGGCTCTCTTTTGCGGCGCTCCCAGAGCGACGAGGAGCTTGTACCCGCCTTCGGTGGGCTGCCACACGCTGGCGCCCACCGCCTCGCCCGAGTCACCATCAAAGCTGATGGTGACCCGGCTCTCGTCGAACTCCCCAGTGAGGCACCACTGAGTGTACAGGCGGTCCAAACCTGGACGGCCGGGTCAAATTCCAGGGATCAGCCTTTTTGTGTCCATGTTTCCTGTGGTGACAGCACGAATCGCCGGGACATGTGAGCACACATAAGCATCACTAGCAGCACGAGTAGCATCTACTCGACAACGGTCGAGCGGGATGTTTCTTTGGGGTCTGGTGGGTAGGCCAAGGCACACGCGTAACCCTCATGTCCTTTGAGCTTCCTTGCGCGCTTGTGACAGTTGCTTCGGAAGCCGCGTATTCTCCCCTGGGCCCCTCGGTTAATCACCAGATCGGCCTTGATCAGAGTTCTTGCTTCCGGGAAAAAGGGATGCGGCCTGCTTTTACACTGTCCCGCCCCCTGTCATGTTCCGACCCCAAACCCACACGGGCATTTCCGAATTTCCCAATAGGGGTACCCCTTTTATACCCTGAATACAATAGAATCCCCTTCAAGGGACCTTAAAGAAAGGGTCCCCGAAACCCCCACATTTGTTGGGGGTATCATTTTCGCATGGGCCCCTTATCGGTTTTCAACACAAACACTGATGCTCCGTGGTAATTTCACGGTTGTTCATAACAGGCTACGTGCGTCCTAGAACCACATGAACATTTAGGCAAAAACCCTGGCGACTGCCAAAAGGCTGGACCTTCGCTGAAGGCAGCGTCCAGGTCAAGGACGACGAGTCGGGCCAACAACTTTAACAGCACCTCGAGCTTACTCAAACGTGTCATCAGACAATTGCACAGGCTTGCTACAGTATTGCTTAAAACGCGAACCTTGCGCGAAGATGTGGTCAGGATCGCGATGATCTGCTCAACTGCAGCGTCCATGCCCTGGCAGCTTGTCCAGAACGGGCGCAGTAAACTGTCCCCGCCCCATGTTGGTGTTGGCCTTGCTTGTCCTTCCAACGTCGCCCGTCGGTTGTCTTCAGGTGAAATTTGATGTTCGGGGCGATTATAGCACCTGTACTATCGAAGAACCGTAATGGCTGATGGCACGCGAGCAAGGTCAGGGCTTTAGCATCTTAGGCTTCTTGGGCATGAGGGCCTCCCGCCGCCCCTCGGTATCTCGACAAAAAGCTTCATCTTGTTCTGCACTTGCGCAAGAAGTCAGCTCAGCGAGCTCTAAGCAACAGGGGCAACACAACGAGGCATCGCGCAGATTTAACCGGCTAGCCGAAGAAGAACACCCTAGCCCCGAAAGAAAGCTTAACGGCTATGGACATTGAAGAGCGCGCCCGGCCAATGGAGACCAAGCAGGTACCTAAGACACGATTTCCCATTGCACCAACTCCACCTCCTCTGCTTCCGCCAGCAAGTCGCAAATGTCTGCTTTGTCCTGGTTTTCACTTCTGCAGGCTTCGGCTTTGGGATTTCGCGTGGGCGGGGGCTTGCTGCTGCTAGCACCATCTTCTGTGTGCACCCTTCCGATTCCAGTGCACATTTGTACATCTACCAGGACCGTACTTTCGCAATCAAATCCAACCTCACTCTCATGCAAACAGCAAGGACGTCTGTCTCCTCGGCCATCACGGCGTGGGACACGGAATCACAAAGAGAACAAGCTCGAACAGTGAGATGGCTACACAAAAAAGGAACATGGTGGTCTTTCGCTGAAAGGAATGTCGCCGCGCCGTCAACAACAATGCAAGGCAGCGAGCTGAGGCAAGGCACCGTCCATGTGTCGACTTCAAGTCAACGTGGCGCACCTTCGGCCAACTTCGGGGCAAACTGCCTTTGCTGCCTTCGCCTCCAGCTGAGCTGTTGGGTGTTTCGGCCGAACTTGTGGTATGCTGTGACGAAAGAAGCGCTTCGCTGGCCTCAAACAGTTTCCTCTAGAGCCTCCCATGAATCTTCGCCAAATAAGGCCTACACCCTACGACAGCCTCAACACCCTCAACTCGAAATCTAGCTTGTAGTCCTAGGACCATGAAACCCCAAAAAGAAGTACCCGAAACCCTATACGCCAAAACGAAGTACCCGAAACCCTACACCCCAAGAACTCCAACAACCTTCGGAGAGGGGCCTTGGATGAAGGGCGTGTAGTCGCCCGGGAAGCCATACTGGCTCAACCTTGAAGATAGGTCTACGGTGAGCTGAAAGGTTAGCTAATATTTCCAGCCATGGCAATTATGTTTGGTGACAACGTGACATTTGGAAGGAATGATTTAACACTTGGGAAACAACATCTCTTCTTTCATTCTCTTACTTTAACTAGCCTAAAGCATCTCTGTCAATCCACGCCTGTTGTTAAAATGAAGTGGTAACGCATCTTTCATTCAAGTAAACAACACTCAGCTTCCAGATTGAAAAGAGAGCTTGAGGGATCCAGGTCTGGGTTTAGCATCGCCCTACCCCTGCGAAGCTTTAGGGGGCCTCAGGGAAACACTGAGCCCGGAACCTCCCCAACCCTCTTTAGGGGGCTTTAGGGTTTGGGGTTCAGGGGACCCCTGCCTCGCAGGACATCCCTTTGGTGTCGTCGGAGGTGCTGAACCTGGCAGGATTTCGGGTTCAGGGTTTAGGGTGTTGGGTGCTTCGGGTGTAGGAAGGGTTAGAGAGTTGAGGGGGCAGGGCCTGTGCGGAGCAGTTGCCGTTTAAGCTTTCGACCTCTAAACTGCTTGGATCTGCTTGGGAACACTCCCGCCCAGGCCAAGGCCAAGGCCCCGACTGGCTGCACACAAGGGAGACGGCGGCCGAGAGCGCGGTCTTCCCGTGGCCGACGTGGCCGATGGTGCCGACGTTGATGTGGTCCTGTCTTTCTGGCACGGGCTTTCTTGGGGGAACGAAGGTGGCAAACCCGAATAAGCCCTAACCCCAAACCCTAAACCCCGAAACCCAAGACCTCAACCCTTCTAAGCCCAAAGCCCTCACGCTTACCCTATGCCGTCATCTTTGGGTTCCACGGGAATCAAGAATCCACACCAAAGCTCCAAAGTTGGGGGGTTGAAGGGCTGGGGCTGGCTAAATTAGCGGCTAACTGAGGGTTTAGGATTGTCTCTCCAGTGTCTCCTAAACCCTAAACCCTAAACCTCAAACCCTAAACCCTAAACCCTGAACCCTAAACCCTAAACCCCAAACCCTAAACCCTAAACCCGAAACCCAAAACCTTTCAAGCCTAACCCTAAACCCTTGGCCCTCCTCCCAAGACCAGGCCTATGTGAAAAGGGAAAATGCCGTTGGAGCTTAATGCGGTCAAGAGATTTCCGAATGTAGACGTAGCCACAAGTGCTAGGACCTAACAACGAAACCCTAAACCTGGAGAAGTTAAACCCGAAATGACCTTGGCGCACCACTGCTTGTGCCCAGGGCTTCTTGGACGCGCGGCCTGGTGGCCCGCTGGCTCCGGGACTGAGGGCGAGGAGGAACTCATACAGGGTTTAGGGCTAGGGTCCAGGGCCCAAGGGATGAAATGACCCTAAACCTAAGCCCGAAACCACTCAACCCGACACCCAAGGGTACTGGCAACAAAATGGCCGGGTCCCCCGCTGGTCGCTCTGTAGAAACCGGCAGCCTCTGCGACTTAAAAAGGTTTTGAATAGGCTCAAGAGGGTTCAGGGTTCATGGTTTAGGGCGTAGGGTTTGGGATGTAGGGCCTGGGGTTCAGGGCTGCGGACCGAGGGTTTAGGGGTTTAAGTTGAAAGCTTGCGTTTCGGGCTGTATGGTCTCGGCTTGAAACCACGCCCGACAGCACGATAGAATCCAGGATCCCCCTTTTGCAGATCTTCAACCTGATCTTTTTCCTCCAACATTGGCAGAGGCCCGGATTCGTAATTTTGGCTATGCGAATTGCCGCTAATGGCGGCTTGCAAGAAGCAGCTCTAGGGCATCAATATGCCTAATGCTAGGAGATGTGCGAGAAAGAGGTGCTATCGCACAGGGGGCGCGTCCACAACAGTCCCTTCCACACATTGCCGCAACAACCTTCGAAATTCTTCTGCTGCAAAGCTTCGCACATCCAAAATACATCGTTGTCGAAGTGATGCTTGACCTGTCCGCGTCTTGGCGTAATATGCGAGAATCGAGGA